AAAAAAAAAAAAACTGCAAATTCTTCCAATTCAATCAACTTTGGAACTATTCATCTTTCTCTTTTTTTTTGGGTGGTTTTCTTTTTTCCTTCTTGGGAAAATGCTAATATATGTGTGTGTGCCACAGAGGCGATACGGGTGCCGTGCAATGATGCTGGAGACTGTGGCTGCAGTTCCTGGAATGGTGGGGGGCATGCTGCTTCACCTCCGTTCCCTGCGCAAGTTCCAGCAGAGTGGGGGCTGGATTAAAGCGCTGCTTGAGGAGGCTGAGAACGAGAGGATGCACCTGATGACTATGGCTGAGCTTGTCCAGCCCAGATGGTATGAAAGGCTGCTAGTCCTCACTGTCCAGGGAGTCTTCTTCAACGCCTTCTTTGTGCTCTACCTTATGTCCCCCAAGCTGGCTCACAGGGTTGTTGGCTATCTGGAGGAGGAGGCCATACACTCTTACACGGAGTACCTCAAGGACATTGACAGTGGTGCCATCGAGAATGTTCCGGCCCCTGCTATTGCCATCGACTACTGGAGGCTGCCTAAGGACGCAAAGCTCAAGGATGTGATTACGGTTATCCGTGCTGATGAGGCGCATCACCGGGATGTCAACCATTTTGCTTCGGTGAGTTTTTTTTTTTTTTTANTTTAGATGTTATGTTCTGTGTGGATGCGTGTAATCTCGTGTTATGTTGTTGAGATGCCTTGATTGTGTGCTTTAGACATGTTTTTATTATGTTGTTGAGATGCCTGATTGCGTGTTTTGATGTGTTTTTATATGGGATTATGTTCCTGTTGCATCTCATAATTGGGTTTCGTTCCTGTTGCATCACATAATTGTTTTAGGGCCTTTTTGCATGCTTAGGCTGAATTCCTGAATGACAAATTGACCGTAGGTCTGAAGAGTCTGAATTCTGCATATACAGACCAGGATAAAAGAATCTTCTGTGTTTGGTTCTAATACTTGTTGGATGTAGAAAATTTGGTAGTGAGGAAGTTGTAATGCTTGATGTAATTTAAACTGAAACTTTTAGCAGATGACTGGGGTTCGTGTTAGGGAGGATCGAGGATGGCATTAATCGTTTTTCACATGGCTTTTGCATCTGGAGTATTTTAACAGCAAATATTCATCATAATTTCATGTACAAAA